CGAAGGCACATAGCTTGAGTCCCGGTTCAACCGTAGTTGAACTTGTTGGTGAAGGCTCATAGCCTGTCTTGGTTCAACCGTAGTTGAACTTTTTGGTGAAGGCGCATAGCCTGTCTTGGTTCAACCGTAGTTGAACTTTTTGGTGAAGGCGCATAGCCTGTCTTGGTTCAACCGTAGTTGACCTTTTTGGTGAAGGCACGTAGCCTGAGTCCCGGTTCAACCGTAGTTGAACTTGTTGGTGAAGGCGCATAGCCTGTCTTGGTTCAACCGTAGTTGAACTTTTTGGTGAAGGCGCATAGCCTGTCTTGGTTCAACCGTAGTTGAACTTTGTCGATTTTGATGATGAAGGCACATGGCCTGAGTCCCGGCTCAACCGTAGTTGAACTTGTTGGTGAAGGCGCATAGCCTAAGTCCCAGTTCAACTGTAGTTGAACTGTGTCGATTTTGGTGACGATGGTACGTAGCCTGAGTCCCGGTTCAACTGTTGTTGAACTTGGTTGATTTTGATGATGAGGGCACATAGCCTGAGTCCCGGTTCAACCGTAGTTGAACTTTGTCGATTTTGGTGACGAAGGTACGTAGCCTGAGTCCCGGTTCAACTGTTGTTGAACTTGGTTGATTTTGATGATGAGGGCACATGGCCTGAGTCCCATATTGTGGGTATTGAGTGCTGAAACTCGTTTTGGATTCGAGACCTTGAGCGGCTTATCCGTTGTCTTCCCAACCAGGGTATATGGGCTGTCCTGAGGCGACTCTCGGCTCGAGATATCTCCGTGCCGGTTTCTGACCGGAGCTCGTGTGCCTCACAGAGACTTTCCCTTAGGAAGGGAGGGGGCCCCTTCTTCTTGTTTGCACTATCTCGGATTGGAGAGAGAGAGAAGACTTAGATCTTGATTTGAGATGTTCGAGTTCCCCTTCGAGTTTGGCGCTTCTTTCCTTTTGGTCCAGGGAATAACTACGCGATTTTGCTAGGAAATCCCCACAGACGGCGCCAAATTGTTTGCTCAAAAGTTGTCACACATCTCATGAGTATAAAACAATATATATATAAATCACGGGAAAATCATAGCAAACCGTAATAATCCGTTGGACCAAATAAAGGAAACAAAAATTAATACTCAGGATTAGGGGAAGAAACATTAGAAACCTTTATTGATAATATGGGTTTGGTCTGCCTCTCCATGGAGAGGTTCAGAGCCTTACAATGGTGTTCCTCTTGCCCATAATTTTGGGTATTGTTGTCCCTTTTTTCTCTCTCAATAGTGGTCACCAAGAAGCCCCCCTCTTCTAGGGTTCCCTCTCTTGGTATTTATAGCTGTGAGCTTCGTGAGCTGGCAATAAGTGGCCGTGACCACGTTGGGATCTCGCCTTTATGGTGGCGGATAGGCCATGGCCTTGTCGATCGAACCAGATGCGGGCAGAACATCGTCAATTCTGAATGGCCGTGCCACTAATTAATCATGAATTAACTTAAAACGGGATTAGCCTCGTTAATTATCGTGGGGTCGGACTCTGACCCATACATATGCCTTAGTGAAGCCAAAGGTCGAATCAGTTTATTCACATGCCTCCAGGTTGTTTGAGCTAAACCAGTTAATCTCCAACAGAGTAGGATTTGTAAGAAGATTAAATTAGTATCATCAAGCTTTCTCATATCTCCACCAAAGATGAAAGGGGACCTGACCATCGACCATAGAGTCACCTACCAGGAAACGAAAAGTCCATTGAATACAAGCCGGTCACATGAGCTATGTCATATTTGGAGAAGGGCTGCAGCAAAAGTACCTGAGTCCGTTGCTCATCCAGATTAAGCCTGCAATTTCTGTGTGGACCAAGATTTGAACCTGCAGCAAAATGGAGTACTAAATAATCTTCCGATGCCATATTTTCCTCCTTGTTTCGACCAATACGAATCCGTAAATTTCGTAGAAGAGGTAACTGGAGCACGCAGTAACTAAATTGGTTCATATAAAAATCCTCACCAAGTAAGCTAAGCACAAGAAATTGTTGGAGAAGTCGTATCTTTATTATAGGATGGACTTTGTCCTGTTTAACATTTAATTTTAGCTGCAAAAGATGTCTCTAGTTGGAATATGTTGGAATATGTTGGACTTTTCTTTTTGTCATATTGGCAAATTGCTTGACACTAGGCCAAAAGGTGTTGACGTTCCAAGATCCCTTTTTCATGACCTTCAATCCAGTAATGGCCAAAACCAGTCTAAATAAGTTCACATACATATTCCTAGGCAACCATGATTTACTGATCTAATAGTCCCGGCTAACAGAATTACAGACAACACTAATAGAACTTTCTAGGAAACAAGAAAATTGCTTAGGCTATGCCTTGAAAGAAACAACAATGTGTCAGTGCGGTAAAAGATGAATAATTAAATTCAAAAAGTTTTAGGTCAACAGTCAACCCTATTATGATCGATGTACACTCTCGTGTCATTGGAGTTAATCTTACCACCAATGCAGAAGGATAACTATAGAAGGCAACCAAAATAATTGAAAGAACATAACTGCGTTACTGACCTTTGAATATTTTGTTCACATAGCATTTATATTCTCATTGAGTTTCTTTTAGTACCGCCGTTTGCCACCAAACTGACATAAAACAGTCAATGAAAAGAAGCATGTGCAAAATCAGTTTAAAAGAATAGCTAAAGAACACAAGAAATTCTATAATTGGCTTCAACAAAATTCATTTTTTTCTATGGAGAACGAAGAAGAAAGGGCAAAATCTCTGGAACAATACCCCATTGCAGCACTCTGATCTCTAAAAAGTCATGACCTCTCACAGAACTTTCTTTGACATAATCTAAAGAGAACCAAGAAATTTGGACATGCATAAGTAGAATGAATTAAGAAAAGAGCTAAAGAACAGGTAGTTCTAGAATAGCCATAAGAAACTTCTATACCTTTTACGCAGCAAATATAATACAGAACATATGGGATTCGAAAAGGGCAGAGGGAAATTTTAGGGAAAAAAAACCTAGAAGCCTGGAAGAAGAGGATGTAAGAGAGGGAGAAAGAGTGGTCTAGGAAACTACAACGCATGAGATTAGGGAAAGCATTAGGTCACCAACGGCTATATCAGATTAGGGAGAGAAATTGGAGATGCGATTCTTCCTCCAAAAAACTCCATTATGCAAATCAATTTTTTTCCTAAAAGAAAAAGGGAAAAATTAGGTATTTTAGCACAAACCTGATAGATGAGATTCACATCTTGATTTGAGAGACTTAGAGCCGGGTAAAATTTTAGCAGAGGAGGGATTTTAGAGAGAGGGATGAGAGATTTTAGAGAGAGAGAAGTGTTTGAGTGTCTCTGTTTTGTGTCCTTTAATTAGGAAGAGTTTTATTTAGTTTATTTTGTTATTTTCAACTAAAATATAAGGGGTCTAGCAGCGACCCAGTCGCTCCAATAGGAATTTAGCGGCGACAGCTTAAAAGTCGCCGCAAATAATATGGAGCCAAAATTTTAGTTGAGCGGGACTGGAAATTTCAGCCACATTAGAAGCGACCTCAGAAAAGTCGCTGCTAAATAATTACTTTTAGTGGCGACTTATAAATTCGCTGCTAAAAGTATAATTATTTTAGCAACATATAGGGTCGCCGCTATATGTTGCCGCTAAAAATCCAATTTCTTGTAGTGCTCCCACACCTCCATAACTTCCCCATGATCTTCCTCCATGATCTCAAATGTTTAATGTCATGTTTATGGCATTCTTTTGTATCTCTATGTAATCCTATAAATAGAGGGTTTTGGCATCACATTGTATACACTTAAATACATAGAAGAAATAAGATTCTCTCCTCTCTTCCTCTCTACATTGTTGTCTATTTTATTGTTCTATATTGTTACTTTGAGCTAAGTTTCGTAACACGTTATCAGCACGAGTCTCTAACCAAGATTTGAGTTTGGTTCTTCTTCCGCCCATGTTCTGATTAGTCTCATTACGAGAATCAGAAAAGAATAACTACTATAACTAGTAAGTACAAAAGCAGGTAAGTGTGAGGTTGGACTTGAAAGAGAGTCTGCTATGCTCCATGTTTACTGCTCCATTACTTATGTTGTGTTTTTAAGTCTTTTGAGTTGACAATTTAACTTCCCAATAATTTTCATTCTTGACCTTGTCTAAATTATTAATGTTTAGAAAACCGAATAGGTAATTGAATTTTTTTCAGTATGAGTTTGTGTCAGTTACATGAATTCTTGGGGTTATGGCTTATGTTATGCTAGTAATAGTTCCTCCACTGCATCTAGTATTTTGATTACAAAGAAAAGGAAATCGGTAATTATAATTTTAATAAATATTTGAGCCACCACTAAATGGCCCCTATAATTGTGTGCACTTTTACTTGTAAGTGGCCTGACCTGATAACTTTGAGCTAACAAATATAACCTCAGAATAATCACTTTTTATATTATCCAGTTAGCTCAAAGTTATCAGGCCAGGCCACTTACAAGTAAAAGTGCACACAATTATAGGGGCCATTTAGTGGTGGCTCAAATATTTACTAAAATTATAATTACTGATTTCCTTTTCTTTGTAATCAAAATACTAGATGCAGTGGAGGAACTATTACTAGCATAACATAAGCCATAACCCCAAGAATTCATGTAACTGACACAAACTAATACTGAAAAAAATTCAATTACCTATTCGGTTTTCTAAACTTTAATAATTTAGACAAGGTCAAGAATGAAAATTATTGGGAAGTTAAATTGTCAACTCGAAAGACTTAAAAACACAACATAAGTAATGGAGTAGTAAACCTGGAGCATAGCAGACTCTCTTTCAAGTCCAACCTCACACTTACCTGCTTTTGTACTTACTAGTTATAGTAGTTATTCTTTTCTGATTCTCGTAATGAGACTAATCAGAACATGGGCGGAAGAAGAACCAAACTCAAATCTTTGTTAGAGACTCGTGCTGATAACGTGTTACGAAACTTAGCTCAAAGTAACAATATAGAACAATAAAATAGACAACAATGTAGAGAGGAAGAGAGGAGATAATCTTATTTCTTCTATGTATTCAAGTGTATACAATGTGATGCCAAAATCCTCTATTTATAGGATTACATAGAGGCATACAAAAGAATGCCATAAACATGACATTAAACATTTGAGATCATGGAGGAAGATCATGGGGAGGTTATGGAGGTGTGGGAGTTACAACTATAATGGTGAGAAGTAGTGGGAGTTATCTACATAATGGGGAAGAATAGTGAGAGTAACTTCTTTAGGAGTTATAGACATCCACTACAATATAATATTTCATAACATTATTCTACTTATTAGGATTATTTTTCTTCCCAATGTAAAATTCATATACTTATAGAAAAAGTGAATGCAAAGAGTGATACTTCTGTATGTCTAAACTCTAAAGCAGATGATGATCGTTTTTGATATCATGTACAATGGTATCCTTTGGCTAATAACCGAAATGACACATATGTAACTTTTAATTTGAACCATTGCATCCTTTGGCAAATTATCGAATTGATTTTATAGGTTATTTCGAAGGGTAATTATGTTATTTAACTTTTCCCTTTCTGGGTTCCCACTTTTATAATATATATATATATATATATATATATATATATATATATATATATATATATATATATATATATATATATATATATATATATATATATATATCGAATATATATATATATTAAACTTACGAGGTGTAACACTAGTTTAAGTATTTATGGCTTCCAATCACCATCTCATAAGTGATAGTACTTATTGCTTGCTTATACATTCACTAGGAATCTATGCATGTTGGTTTAAGGGTGAAAGATTACCTCTTATAGACCAAATTTTGAAAGTTAACTTTTAGGGTGTTCTTGAGAATTTGAAGAAGTCCTATGGAATCCAATCAAAACCTTGTTGTAACTAGTGATTGAGAAGTGAAATCATCATAAAACACACTTAAAAACTCACCTTTAGTGTGTATTGAAATCCTTGGCCGGATGGAGGATGGAGAGAAAAGCCCTAGTCTTGAAATTCTTTTATTTTTCTCTCTCTCCACTCAGGTATTACTAGGCCTGGGTACAACATTTTTTCGCTAGTGCTATCCATGTACTATAAGGCATTAGCTTACTGGTTTGCTAAAATCAGGTACAGTATTTTTCAACTGGTGCTATCCCTGTGCTATAAGGCTTTAGCTCACTAGTTTGCTAAAATTTTCTGCTTCACTCTTGTGCTATAGCTGCGCTATGGGGAGATATGTCACTGTATTTTCTTTAGTATTATAGCTTTGAAATTAACATCCAAGTGTTTCCCCATTATTACAACACTCAAAGATTAACAAAACAATTATCCCCATGTTTCTAAATAACTTTATCAACTCCAATAATTGTCACGTGGTTCAGATCTAAATTAAATTGTATTCTTAAGCTCGAAATCGCTCAAATTAGCAATAGAAATTCATGGGGCCTTACACATTAGCGTACCTCGGCACCACAAACCTCGAGTTCTTGGTAAAATTTATTGGGCCCTTACATCCTCCCCCGCTTAGGATCATTCGTCCTCGAATGAGGGTCAAAGTTCATTATTAGCATTCGATGTAATTCGACATCCATACTATATACCAGCAATCCCAAATTCTGACTAACTCCAAAAATTTTCAAAACTTTCGCCAGAGTTTCCTTTGTAACTAGGCTTATCCACCTGTAAGAGAATTCCAAAACCAACCCTAGCAACATATACATGAAGCAATGACACAATCAAAATCATAAAAACAACATCAACCTTGGTCTCATGAGCAGTATATTACCAAAATGGAATGCGCTTTGCAAAACTGTACAAGTGAAATATAATTCATAGAAGGTAACTCTTAGCATCTTCATAGAACGCAACTTAATAAATAAATGGCTATTCAAACAAATGAGCGTATATCTTCTTCATTTCTTCCTCGGCCTCCCAGGTGGCCTCTTCAACCTACTGGTTCTGCCATAGCACATTCACTGAGGCAATTTCTTTATTCCTCAGCTTACGGACTTGCCTATCAAGAATGGCAACTGGAATCTTTTCATAAGTCAGGTCCTCTTTAACCTCAACAAACTCAAGTGGGACAATAAGTGCCGGATCTCTAACCACCTTCTTCAACATGGATACGTGAAACACCGGGTGCACTAAAGACATCTCCAGAGGTAGTTCAAACTTGTAAGCCACCCGACCAATCCTCTGAATGATTCTGTACGGTCCGACATACCTCGGACTAAATTTCCCTTTATCTCTAAACCGCATTATACCTTTCATGGGGGAAACCTTCAAGAATACCCAATCATCTTCTTTGAACTCCAAATCCCTACGACGAACATCCGAATAGGACTTGTGACGACTCTGAGCAATTTTCAACCGCTCCTTAAAGACCTTGACCTTCTCCATAGCCTTATGCACGAGGTCTGGTCCTATCAATTTAGCTTCCCCAGTCTCGAACCACCCAATGGGAGATCTGCATCTCCTACCATATAATGCCTCGAATGGTGCCATCTGAATACTAGCATGATAATTATTGTTGTAGGCAAGTTCTATGAGTGGAAAATGATCATCCCAGCTACCCTTGAAGTCAAGAACACAAGCACGCCACATATCCTCAAGCGTTTTAATAGTCCGCTCTGCCTGCCCGTCGGTCTGTGGAGGAAAGGCTGTACTAAGTTTTGTAGTCATGTAATTTTTGACCCGCACATTAGAATTACCTTTAATAGTCCTAGTATTCTTAGGATATTTGTTTGAATTTATTTCTATAGGATTTCACTTTATTATTAAATTTAATTCCATTTTTAGGCTCAAAAATTGAAAAATACAAAAAAAATAGTTTCATTTTCTATTTAATTCAGTATTAGGTATTTTTAGAAAGACATATTATTTTCAACATATTTTTATTCAAATATAATTATTGAGAATACCAAAAATAGTTTCAAACTTAATTTTTAGTTTTATTTTAAATATAGTAGTTTATTAAAATCAATTAAGAGTTATTTTACATCTTTTATAAGTATTTTATATTACTTTAAAAAGCAAATTGATTTTTAGCTTGTTTTTGGCCCAACTTTGTAAGATTTCTGGGCCCAATCTTCCCCAATTCAACAGCCCACCCCGCCGACCCGCTTTCAA